ACCCCTCAGTCCGAAGAGGGTCGCCTCCCTGCAGGGAGAAAGGCAGCAGCACCAGCACCACCATCGAGCGAGTGAGCCCTAGAGGGGGTGTCCTCTCCCGGGTGGGCCTTTCCAAGTGTCAGGAAACCAGCTAGCCTGGCTTTGGGGGATGCCCCCTGCCTGCCCCATAGCCCAGGAGGTCTGGCACAGGTTTCAAAGCTAGGATGACGGGAGGTCCTGTCATCCCTTGTGAGCAGAGCCCCTGCGAGGCAGGCCTGGACGTTGCCACCCAGTGACATCTGGAAGGCTGCACTTTGCCTCGCCTGTGATAGGAACCGTAGACCCATGAGGTTGGGAGGGCTTTGGGGGATGCCCCCTGCCTGCCCCATAGCCCAGGAGGTCTGGCACAGGTTTCAAAGCTAGGATGACGGGAGGTCCTGTCATCCCTTGTGAGCAGAGCCCCTGCGAGGCAGGCCTGGACGTTGCCACCCAGTGACATCTGGAAGGCTGCACTTTGCCTCGCCTGTGATAGGAACCGTAGACCCATGAGGTTGGGAGGGGCCCCCAAAGGCCATCGAGTCTAACCTTGTTCAAGGCACAGAAATCCCAATCAAAGCAGACCTGACGAAGAGGGTGGCCCCATTTTCCTTTCAACATTGGAGCGCTCGCCACTCTCTGAGGTTACGGTTCCCGTTGTCGTACTGCTCTAACAGTTAAGAAGTTTTCCCTGACATTCAGCCGAAATCTGGTTTCCTGTAGCTTCAGCCCATGATTTATGTGCCCTGCACTCTGGGAGGATCAAGCACACATCCTGTTTCTCCTGTAGGAATACTGTACCTTTCAAGTCCAGTGGTGTCTCACAAGACGATTGCGTTGCGGGACGATTAATCTGCAAGACGATTAGTTTTTGCAATTGCTGTTGCGCTTCGCAATACATTTGTTTCCTATGGACAATTTTCGCAGGATGATGATTTTTCCCCATTGGAACGCATTAAATAGATTTCAATGCATTCTGATGGGGAACTGCCTTTCGCAAGATGATGTTTTTGCAAGACAGCGGTTTTCACGGAACAAATTAACATCGTCTTGCGAGGCACCACTGTATTTGAAAAGTACTCTCCTGGAATCATAAAATCATGGGCCTGGAAGGGCCTCCAAAGGCCATCGAGTCCAACCCCCTGCTCATGGCAGGGATCCAAATCAAAGCAGATCTGACAGACGGTCCAGTTTTGACCAATCCTCCATGATTTCACAAAAGTAATAGAGAGCGGTTCTGAGAGTTCTTCACCAAGTTCCTTCAATACTCTCGGATGCAGTTCATCTAGCCCCGGGAATTCGAACTCATTTAAAGGAGTAAGGTACTCCTTGCCTGTTTGTTTATCACTCTCAAGCTGCAATCTCATCTCCTCTCTTTATACTCCGGATCTGCCTGGAGGGTGTAGACTGTTTTTTTGGGGGGAGAAAACCAAGCTGAAGTAGGAATGGAGCACTTCCGCCTTTTCTTTATCATCTGTTTTCCCCATCCCCATTGAATTGCTGAGCCACTATTTATTTTCTGTCTTTTGCTACGTACATACCTGAAGAATGCTGGGGGGGGGGTTCCCCCCTTGCTTTTAGTGTCTCTTGCTAACCTTAGCTCATTCTCAGCTTTTGCCCTCCTAAGGCCGTCCCTGCAGTTCCTTGCTCCTTGTCTATACTCTTCCTTGGTGACCTGGCCTTCTTTCCACTTCCTGTATGTGTCCTTTTTTTAATTTTGTTTTCAGGTCCTTTCCAAACTTTTTGTGAAGCCACCGTGGTCGTCTTCTTTTGCTAGCCTCCACTTTTTTTTTCTTGTTGGAGTTGTCTGTAGTTGAGCCTTAGGATTTTTTGTTTTATTTTTTTGCAAAATTTCCATCCATCTTGGACTCCTTTTCATGTTAGGTTCTCCTGTCATGGGACCTTACTTAGAGTGATAAACCTCCATTTATTAAAACGGGCTTTCCTAAAATCCAGATGTTCTAATCTTCAATTCCCAGAAGCTCCAGCTGCTAAGGTGGGAGGGAGACGTAGCCCAGAACATCTGGAAGACCCAATCTGGTGCAACTTGACCAGAATGTTGGGCGCTTTGTAGACAATGTTTGCTAGATCAGCCGTCTTTCTGAGGGGATTCCACTGCCTTGGCTTATCTAGTCATAGAGATATTCTGGGAAACTGCTGGTTTTTATCATTTTGACACTCACTGCTCTATGGAAATCTTGCCGGAGGATTTTGACTATGTGGGTAATCTGCTGACGTTGGGCGGTGTGGCTTTTTTTCTTTTCTTCTTTCTTCAGGTAGTGGCTCCAACCCCTTCCAACATTTGGAGAAGAGTAGCATCCTCCAGGAGGTACGACCGGATATTTCTCATTCTTAAATCAGGTTTGAAATGTATAGAATCAGTTTGATGTTTATCTGGAGTGCTATTCCCTGGGGGGGGAAGAACACCGTGTGTGGCCCTTTCTGTGGATGGAGGCCCTTTGGCCTGTCTTTGCCGTGTCTGGCAGCTGCTGCCATTTTTATCCCAACCACTGTTCCCATGCGCGTAGATGCCGTGGTTCCCAAACTTGGGTGTTCTTGGACTGCAGTTCCCAGAAGCCTTCACCATGAGCTGGGCTGCCCAGGATTTCTGGGAGTTGTAGGCCAAGAACATCTAGGGACCCAAGGTTGAGAACCAGTAATTGTCAGCAGCGTGGCTTATAGAAAAACAAGAGAAAAGTAAATGTATTGTCAGTACCATTCATTCACATTATTTATAGGCTGGTTTTCTCCCCATAAAAAAGGGACGTGGTGGCGCTGCGGGCTAAACCACAGAAGCCTGTGCTGCAGGGTCAGTTGTAAGATCAAATCCACGCGACGGAGTGAGCGCCCGTCGCTTGTCCCAGCTCCCGCCAATCTAGCGGTTCGAAAGCATGCAAAATGCAAGTAGATAAATAGGTAACCGCCTCGGTGGGAAGGTACTGTAATGGCATTCCGTGTCTCGTCATGCTGGCCACGTGACCACGGAAGATTGTCTTCGGACAAACGCTGGCTCTATGGCTTGGAAACAGGGATGAGCACTGCGCCCTAAAGTCGAACACGACTGGACAAAAAAAATTGTCAAGGGGAACCTTTACCTTTACCTTTTTTTTTTCTCCCCATAGGGGACACAAGGTGGCTCACAGCAGATAAAAGAGATTTAAAAGCATTAAAAGAACAATTAAACACATATTACGATTTTTTTTTAAACTGAGATGTTCCCTGGGCTTTTTGCAAAAGCAGATGCTTGTCATGCTTGCCTCCAGCCCAGAATCTTGAGTTTGGTGAGAGCCTCGCTCTACATCAGTATTTGGCACCCCGAGGCAGAGATTTGAGACCTCACCTATCCAGGTTCACCACACGAAGCTGACAGCTTGATTCTGGAAACCAGCCGGGGATTTTCTGTGCTCGGAGCACACTTCTTATACTGAAAACGGCATGATGCTCATCATATCAGGCCTTGTGATTTACAGGTAGAGGGAAGCATCAGACCTGGT